CACAAAACAAATGAATGTCAAATGGCCTTACATAAAAGTAGGCTAGAAATTAGTATTATTTTAGCTATATCGGTCAGGTTCTAGGACACCTTTCTAGGAGGAGTGGTGTTGAGAGGGACAGGTGAACCAGTTTGAAGACAAAGTTTGCTAGGTTTGTGGAAGAGAATAAGTGCTCTTACTACCTGCAGTACAGCAGGGTGAGGTTCCTTTAAGTTTTGCGCTCTTCTGAGAGCAAATGCTTTTTTCGATGGAGGGTTCCAGTGATTCAGCATCTCTTCAGAGGAGAATTACCGGTTGCTATTTCCTTCTGCAGAAACACAAAGACAAAAGACTGTGGAGCTTTTGGTCCACTTTCCTGTTAATGCTGGGAGAGCTTTATCAACACCTTATCTGTAGAGCAAGTTTGATCAGGGCAGGTATTACGGAATAAGCTATTATTATAAAGCTGTTACTGTTTCCAGTGTTGACATTTTATTCCAGAATAAAACAACTTGTCATCTTTGTTGGGTGTCCACACAGAGGCTAGTCTGTAATACCTATCCCTGAGAACTATCCAGCTTAAACCACCCCGGTTTTTCAGCATCTCCTCTCTGCTGTCTTGCCTGTGGTCTAATGTATGCTAATGATGATGTTTTCTTTATTGTTTGGACTGCAGCATCTAAAGGATGTTTAAAAAAAATTAACAGGGGAAAATTCATCCTGCATCCTTCTTCATTTTTCTAGATAATCTTATGGTAAGATACCTAGCACATCATTTGGATTATCTCAGTGGAAGTAAATGTCCGGTAGATGTATGTAGGCTGTAAACTCTTGGCTGATACGGACCTTTTCTTACGGTGTGCACCTAACGCAATGGTACTTTGCCTTTGTCAAGGTCCTTAGAGACTACTGTAGTACAGCTGCTAATCCTGGCAGTGATGATGATTCCACCAGTGCTGTTTGCACTGTCAGCTTGAATTCTTTGGCCATGAAAAGCCTGTATCTTGACGTTGTGCAGTAGGTTTAAAGCTCAGGGAAGAGGATCTTCTCATGGAAGAAGATGTATCTAAGGTGCGGGACCATTTAGTGCAAAGATGGGTTTGAGACTGTTCACTTTCTGGAAAGGGATGTCTGGAATCTGAGATGAGCACAAGCCCAGATTCACATCCCCAGATTTTGAGAAAGTTTTTCTTCAGGGCAGAACTTTTTAGCTTGGCAACCAGTCTGCTGAGATCAGTGCTCAGGATGTAGACAGCACTGTCTTATTTTCCATCTGCCTATCTATCTCCATCTGTTGTTCCCTGTCTTAGAATTCAGACGTAAGCTCCTTGGGGGGAGGAGACCTCTTTTTCTGATGAGATTGTGCAGCTCTTTAGCACAACGGGGTCTCATCTGTGAGTGGGTATCCTAAATGCTGTGTCAGGATACAAAGTTAATATGTATTGGAAGCACTTTTATATAAAACTGCGTTAAAGGAATTCCCCCTCTCCTTGCACTAAAGCATTTTAGCTTGCAGAAACCTCTCCTCTGACTGTGCATGTACAATGGATCTGAGCATGTTTTGTTGTTTTAGAGATGGCATCATGAGACAATTGCCTGAGGTGCCTAGAGATATTAGGAAGCAGCATTTTTACAGCTCCCATAAAATGGCATTAAATTTGGCAAACTCATGTGCAAACAGCAAGAACCCTCTGGGAAGGGCTGTTAAATGCCTTCATCACTTAAATGCATGTAAACATTGTGTTTAAATGAAGGCAGGAGGAGTGAGATTAGCTCCCACTGTGGATCTCCCTCCCCTGCATCACATAGTAAAAAGTGTAAAGACTTCTGCTTGTCAAAACCAGTTGCCCTCCCATAACCCTCCTGTCGCTTTAATGCAGGTGAAAAGCAACAAAGCATTAATTAATTACCTTTAAAGAAAGCAGTGAAGATGTTGGCAGCAGCAAGCACACTTGTAATAACATTTGAATGCAATTACATTTGAATCATAATAGAAATTGATTCAGATTCAGAATAGAAATTGGTTTTGTAGAGTAGTTTTCATATCTAGGGTGTCCCAGAGTACTTCACAGCAATGATGATGACGGGGATGGAACTACAAATATGTAGGTAAACAGCAGCCTTTGCGTTCTCATGTGAGAATTTGCACACATCTCTGTATGTATATCAAAGTGCTACGGTGCTTCTCTTTCAGAAAAATGCTGTGGGGTCTTTAGCTTGAAGGAGATTGGTTGGCAGGGATGATCAGAAGGGATTTCTGCTTGACATCCCTGAAGGAGCCCAAAGGTCTGTGACTAGGACATGAACTGATGACTCTCCTTTCTTCTCCCTCTCTGAATCAGAGAATGAAGTGCTGTTGTGTGCTTCATCATGGCATTTCTGCATATCGCAGGCATAAAAGAAGAGTGCAACCCACAGAGACAGAAAATGCAGCAGAAGAAGCAAGCATGAAAGAGTCTTGGACGTTGCTTAGCTGTATCATCTGCGTTCTGTCTGAAATCATTAATGTCTCTAACTTGCCATATGGTGTATATGAAATAAAGAGTAGATATGCATCTCATAGGATGGTTTCACCAAGCAAAGGAAGTACCCTCCTTAGTGGGTCCTGACAGTAGTGTGGACCTGATGACTAGCTGTGTTAAAATCCTGTCCAGTGTCAAAGTAGTGTCTCCTTATGTTCTGTATTTGTACATCACCTTGCATAGCCCCTGGCCAGGAGGACTGCACCTCCAGGCTGTTAGGGAAGCACACATAACACGTACCTTAACACCTTTATGTGTTAAGCTTCTGAGGGGAGATGGCAGTGTGTCACCAGTACTCCACTCGCCTCTTAATAGTGCAGGGCTGAAGGGACTGGTTGACCAAGGGGAGTTTTGATGGGCAGGAGGCCCTGTGGAAATGCTGAGGCCCACAGTCCTGAGGTCTGTATCATATACTGCAACACCAAGGAATGAGCTTTCCACAACAAGAAGATGAGTAGTTGTAAAACAAACAGATGTGGCACTGGGGTCTTTTCAAGTCCAAACACCAGAGTTGCCATGAATGGAAAGCACAAGGCATCAGGAGACCTACACCTCACCTTTATGTGGTCATGACCACAGCTCCTACCACGCAGAGGAGGAAAGGGACTCTATCGAGTGACAGCAGCAGGAGGATGGACTGCTTGGTTTGCAAGGAAAGGTGTTTCAGTGCTTTATGTGTAAGCACACCCAAACTAGCTGTAATCTCGCTAGCTCCAGTACAGAGAGCAGTGAACCTCAGTGGTGTGGGCTTTGCTGAAAGGTATGCCGCTCTGCCCGGGACCTTGGATGCACATGCTGGAGAGGTGTGCTGCTTCTAGCACATGGGCTAATTAGATGACAGCTGGAGGTATAAGCAGCAACTGTACCTCTGATTGCAATGTTGATTTTGAAGGAGGCTGTTTATCTCTCATACTTATCCCTCCAGCCTTCTGTCATGCTTTCCTAAGTTGCATTCCCTTGTTTCTCTGATTTCAGGAAAACCCCTTTCTCGCTTAACAAATGATCTCATATAGAGTCAGCCTGAGCTTTTCCGGGTTTCCCAGGCAAGGAGCTGTTGTTATATAACACAGAATTCCTTGTTCTCTATGTTAAACACCTACTTTCTATCACTGAGATTTTGTTTGTCCATTCCTCTTTTTTTTTTCTTCCTCCCTGGTTCTCATTATTCTGGAATTGCAGTAGAAAGTAATAAGAGCAGGACAGCTGTCTCTGTTCTTGCTGACCAGTTTAACAGGGCTCTGATTTCATCTATAGCTGGTAGCACTTGAGTTTCCTTCCGCCTCTGCCCTGCCTCTCACTCACCCATTGCACAGACCCAAAGCTGTGCGCAGTGAATCTGCATATTGCTCTGCACGCGCAAAGGTTCTTTAAAACGGGGAATAGGAATAATATTGTCTTCCTAATAAGCAATCCCTTGGCACCTATGAACAGTACTTTTCTACTATGATGAAACTTTAGATAGGTGGGATTAGAAAGATTTTGCTCTAAGGTTTGTTCTCTCTGCTGCTTAGGGCTTTTCTTAGGAAAAAAGTGCATTTTTTATTCCCCTGTGCTTGCAGAAAATGTGGCCATCGTGTAACATTTCCTGGCATCTGCCTTCCCTAGGTAGACAAGGCCACTATCAAATTTTGACCAGTCCTTCACGGTGAAATGCTCATGCCGGAATCAGAAAAGGAGGAAGCAAAAGGAGTTTGCAGGCTGGTGGTCGACTGCTGGAAAAATAAATGGTGTTACCTTGTCGTGGAACCTTATTCCACTTGGTCTTTACATGCTAATGGCAAATGTGACACCAATCAGAAATGGATCCTGGCGGAGCATCATATCACACATACTTTTTTTTGTTGTTGTTCATTCACATTATCCATTTGAACCTGTTGTATTTGTTTCTTTATCTTCTCTCTCTCTCTCCGAGGCAAAACCAGAAATGGACTTTTGGTGTAAGAAATCAGTCATTAAGCACATACTGAAAGGAGAATTTTGTTAGTTTCAGACTGTAGAGGGAAGGGCGTAGGAAGGG